AAGTAAGCGTACTCTACAACTGTAAAGGAATTTTCCCGCTACCCCCTCAGATTTGATCAACTACTGAGACCCATCTCTCTGAAGAAACATCATAATGCATAAGCGGGATTATATGCGCACCACATTCAAACAATTTTTTCTCGAGCCAAAGCTCGAGTGCATGGCGCAATCTGAAGTAGGGCTTTTTAAAGTTTAAAAGCATATTCTTATAGAACTCGACGAGCTGAGTTCAACGCTTTTTTCAGATTTTGAAAATCTCAATTTTGAACCGAGTTATAACGAATTCACGAAATTAACGAGGATTCGCGTTATTCGCGTGAATTTTTTTCAAACGGCGAGTACTGTATGTTCTTAGGGGAGTGACCATGTGAAAAGTAATTTTGAGGTTAACTATAGCAAAAGCAACTGAAACTTGCCTTTTCATTGCCAGAAAACGTCAATTCGATCGAACTTTTACAGTTGTTCCTTCTGATAAGTTTGACACATCGAATATCATTCGAAACATTTTGTTGCATCCGAGTTTTGCGTATTAAAGCTCAAAATTCACGGATTTGATGTGAGGCGGCGGCGCCTGCAAAATCGCCGTGGTCCCACGCGGCGCAAAAACCCAAAACGCGCGTTGTCGTCAACGTGTTAAAACGATGTACGTTTACTTGATCTACTCGTATGTAGGCCAAAACCTTATTGAGACTTCGATGTGTCTTCAAACATGTGAGTTGAGATGATTTCTTTTCTGGCTATTAGCGTCAAGTAAAAAATATTAGGTTGTCCCATAATTAGTGAATCACTTTGGGTATTTTTGAATTCAATTTTTTTTCATATGAAGTCTTGCTCATCCAAACATACACCTCTGTCATCTACAAACTATTGCCTATACATGGGAAATTTAGTCGCTGTCTTTTCTCTAGAATTCCAGGAGCTATTGATCAAAGAAAGATCGGAAGTCGAGTTTGAGGTCATGTCACTTAGCGTAAAATTTCTTCCTGAAGAATAATGGTATAAGTAAGACTAGGTTATCTTTCGCTGGTACGAGGGTAGGGCTTCACGGTGGAGCTGGAAGAACTGCTAGCCCAAAGGTCTCCAATTTTTTATGAAGATTTTCCGAAAGGTGGGGTCGAATGACCTCAGAAAAAACCAGACTTTGTCTTGCTTTACCCTTCAGATAGAACGCGTCGCCATTATGCTGTCGACGTTGCCTTATTCACTGACTCTAGTATTACTAGGCGGCGGTTCCCAGCGCAAGGTCCCTTCTGTGCTCCACTAAAATCTCAGAAGTGTCGACATACAGGTCCGACAGAGGTGGTTGGGCTTTTGCTGTCAGAACTCCCGAATCTTTTGAAGCTAGGCTGCTGCTCCTTGTGAATTTGCTAGCACACTCCACCCACTTCACAACACTGGTGAGTACGCAGGATGATCACTGAAAAGAACTCTGGGAAGCCAGAGGGAACATGGCGATTTCATATCGTGTTTGGGGAAAGATTCCAGAAAAATTGAAGTTTCAGCCTCGGAAGGCAACATGTGAATGGGCTGACTAATTGCTCAGGTAGGACAATGTGGGTACTACTTGGCAAAACATGTTTCACGCCTTCAAGATTTTTCTTGGATTTATAGCAATAAATGTAAAGTGATTCACTAATTATGGGACAACCTAATGAAAAAATGGTCCAATTTTTTGCCGCCCCTTTACTATTGAGTTTCCATAACAGTGGATGACTTCACTTGAAAATGTTAACGAATGCTGACTTTTTTCCTTATCAATGTTCTGTTTCAGCGAAGCACTAGTAGCTCGACATCGTAAATATTACTTGGCTGTCCACATTCTACCAGGTTGTTTATTTGGTGTAGCTATGGATCTAATGGTCTTCTTTATCCGGACATCAGAAACGTTTGTTACTTTCGCATTGCCATCTTCATAAAAACAAAGCCTCTGTTTTTTAGTACTTACTCGTATCACAATTGTATTCGTTTTTAATTCTTCAACGCGCCATTTTTCATTCCACAGCCAGCATTCAACCAAAAATGTTCGGATGGGGATGGTTTCAGACTTTGAATGACTTTTGGTGCGCTCGCAGTTTCTTTTTGCAGTCACGTTCTGAGACTAATTCTAATCAACACATTCACGACGGCGCCCCTTACCCACTTTCGGTCGCGTGAGACGGACGCGATTTTGTGACTCACATCCGCGGATTTTGTACTGTAAATAGGAAAAACATGAATGTCACAAAATTAATTGTGCAATGTCAATGCGTAAAGATCATCAAAATATTAGGTCGGTCCATAATTTTTGAGAACCTTTGGTGTTTTTCGATTTAATTACTTATCTTATTTCTCTGATGTACTTATTCAGCATAGTATACATCACCATTATTACCAACATATAACCAATGCGAGGGTGGGTATTCAGTGTCTCTCTTGTAGAATTTCATAGAGTTCTGATCGAAGAAATATTGGATGTCGATTTTGACTTTATGGTGATTCAAGTGAGATTTCTTCTCCAGAAGGTGATTGAGAGAGGAGAGCGGATAGTCGTTCGTTGACGCAGGATTAGTGCTACAAGGCGGAGCTAAAAGAACTGACCGCCCGAGAGTCTCCAATTTTTTAGGAATTTTCTTAGCAAGGCGGGCTCGAACGACCTCAGAAAAAAATAGATTTTGTCTTCCTTTGCTTTCAAGTTGAAGGCGTTGCCATCAAGCTGTCAACGATTCTTCCCATCACTGACACTGGTATTAGTTGATGCCGGTCTTCAGCGCAAAGGCCCTCCCGTATTGCGCCAACGACTCAGGAAGTTCGAATTCAGAGGGAGTTGGGTTTTTACTGTCAGAACTCCCGAATCGTTTGAGCAAATCTACTGCGGCTCGTGGATTTGTTAGCACACTGCACCCAGTCCACATCACCAATGAGTATTATAGATGGTCATCCGAAGGAACTATGGGAAACCAACAGGAACTTGATGATGTCAGATTGGGTTGAGAACTGATTCGGGACTACAATTTTCCTTCGATCAGAACTCTATGAAAGTCCACAAGAGAGGCACTGAATACCCACCCTCGCATTGGTGAAATGTTATCCTTCTATTTATAAAGCGCTAACTTTGTGTGTCGGTTTGTGTGTCTGTATGTGTGTGTATGTATGTCTGTGTCCGTCCGCAAAATGAAGTGAGTGAGAAGGAAGCTCATGGGATAAACAAACCGCTAACAAATCGGGTAGCTTACAGGATTTGAGATATCAATGTTTTGCAATGGATAGTTGTGATAACACCCCAACGGCTATATAAACACCTACTGAGGTCACTTCCAGTTATTTCACATGGTGCTGCGGTGGCAGCTGAAGGTGAGTTGAAGGATGTTTTAGTTATAATTATAATATGATTCTAATATGCTTTGTTTTTGTAGCTCATGTGTTAATTACTGAATTGCACACGTTTGCTTAACTATACTTCAAGAAGAATGGTGGATGTTTACAGTTGTGAGATAAATATGCCAGTTCAGCTCACGCGTATTCTCGATGGACTTCAGCGAAACTGGGAAAGGTCTAACACATTCAATAGTGAGGTGGTTAATGGAGTACCTCATGCTGATATTCCATGGGTCCTCCAGTTTCGCTAAAGCCTGCCGTGTGATGCGCGCGATAGCGGTCCCGGCGGTCGGCGGGGGACCAACCTGGTTAATAATAATGATGTATACTGTGCTGGATAAGTAGATCAGAGAAATAAGATAAGTAATAAATCGAAAAACACCAAAGGTTCTCAAAAATTGTGGACCGACCTAATATATACAGTAGGATTTCGATCAAAACGACGAATAGTGGTAACGAAAAGAGAGCATTCATTCACTTTACCCTTGAAGGAATTTAATACTGACGACCGCGCGGCAAAATGTATGCCGCCACTTTTGCGCCTCCCTGGACATTGTGGCAACTATGTATGCCACACCAGTTACATTTATTTTTTGCGCACATGCTCGATTTCTTCCTAGGTTTTTTGTGTTCATTTTATAGGTCATACATCAACATAACCAAGAACCACGTGGCTTACAGAATGACCAAATATTCTTTAGTTTGGCAGAGGTTTTCCGGACCTGGACGAAAATATCCGTTCAATTCATTCCTCATTTTCTTCTTCATTAACGCGAACATGTAGATAAAAAAGGTTAATAGAAGTGAATGCAAACTAGTCGTGTGGCAAAATATATAGGTTGTAGGGAAAGTTCTCGCGGTTTTTGACACATATCATTACCTTAATTTTTTATCAACAAGAAAACATATTAGGAAACAAAGTAATCACCATCACGTTCTATCACTCTTCGCCATTTTTCGGGCAGACTTTTGATGCCTTCGGCAAAGAACTTTTCTGGCTTCGATTCAAAAAAGTTGCTCAACCAGCGATCTATATCATGTTCGTCATCAAACGTTTTTCCTTGCATGGCGTTGGACAGCGACAGGAAAAGGTGGTAGTCTGTCGGAGCAAGGTCCGGGCTGTACGGCGGGTGAGGCAACACCTCCCACCCAAAGTCGAGTAGCTTCTGGCGAGACACTCTTGCAGTGTGTGGGCGAGCGTTGTCGTGCAAGAATCGGATCGTACCACTATTTGGACGCTTTTCTGCGATTTTGGCGGCCAGTCTATCCAGTTGCTCACAGTAGAGGTCTGCCGTAAGGGTAGCGTTGCGTGGGAGAAGCTCATAGTGGATGATACCTTTCCAGTCCCACCAAACACAGATCATAACCTTCAAAGGGTGAAGACCTGCCTTTGGCTGCGGCTCAGGTTGCTCATCCTTGTCAACCCAGTGTCGGCGGCGCTTGATATTGACGTACAGGCACCACTTCTCATCTCCTGTAACGATGGACTCCAACCAGTCATCCGTGTGCCTGTACGAGAGCAGCTGAGTAGCCACCTCGGCACGTCGCTGACGATCGCCTTCACTCAGGTGGTGAGGTACCCACTGTGGCAGCTTGTGTACTTTGCCCAGCCGTTGCAGATGATCGGCGACGGTAGTAAAGTGGACATTCAGGACTTGCGCTAATTCACGCGTAGTCTGCCGCGGGTCCGCCACCACCAACTGGCGCAAGCGACCAGTGTCGACTTCGGGTCTACGCCCCGATCGTGCAGAATCTTCCAGGCTGAAGTCTCCTTCACGGAAGCGTTTGAACCAATCCTGTGCAGTGCGTTCGGACACTGTGCCCTCTCCAAATGCAGCGTTGATGCGGCGACTGGATGAGGCTGCTGATTCGCCATATTTGAAGTCATACAGCAGAAGACCACGAACGTACTGTTTCGAAAGCTCCATTTTGCAGAAATGACGTATGCTCGAGCTTGCAGCTCATGATGACAGGTAACTTGCACAGACGTGTCGTCCTTATATATGCACAAGTCAAGTTGCTGGAAGGCATTGTACAGGTAAAAAAAGGCGTGCTTCGAAAACCGCGAGAGCTTTCCCTACAACCTAATATGTTTTTTACTAAAACAACCACGAACTAATTTTGGAAATACTAAAGGAAGTAAGTAAAATTTGCCTTTTCATGGCCTTAACACGTCATTTCGGTCGAACTTCCATTACTGTAACTCCCGATAAGTTAGACAGATCGAACATTATTGAAAACACTTCATCGCATCTAAGTATTGCGTATTTACAGCTCAAAATCCATGGATTTGGTGTGCGGCGGCGCTCGCAAAATCGCTCTGGTCCCACGCGGTGCAAAAACCAAAACGCGCGATGTCGTCAACGTGTTAAAGCATTCAGACTCGATTACGGCATCTACCCACTATCTTCACCATTCCTAGCGCCTGGCAAGCGATTATCAGCTGGCAGCCCATATGGGCTGCCATCGTCCCAGGAGCACATGCTTGTTGGCAGCCCATATGGGCGGCCATCGGCGTGAATGTGTTAAAGGAGGACTTCACGATAAGTGTGAAGGTCGGAGAAGGGAAAATATATCTAGTGGAAGATCTCGCGTATTTTGTCTTCTTTGATCGCCCTGTCTCGCCATCGTACCACATCCGACCTTATTGAAGGTAAGGCCTCAATTTCAGCGTTCCCAAAGAATTCTCCTGCTTTCCTCTTCCCTTTCAGATCGTTCCGCATCATAGATTGAAATAAATGCGAGCCCGTAATTCTGGTCTCCTTAAAATTATGGCTAGAGAGCCCTTCCTCATTTTGCAGAAAAGAGCAAAGGTACGGGCTCACATTGGAGTCGATCTCATATCAGCAAATCAAAAATTCTTCCTCGATTCGGTTCCATCAATCAGTGAAGTGGCTTTGGGTGCTATCCAAATTTTAGAGAATCTTATTAGCAATGTAAACATTTTTGTTGCAGAGAAGTTATATGCACACCCGCTACAGTGATTCAAGGAGTAAGCTACGATGTTTTGATAGAGTCAATTGTTATCATCTCTGGAATAGTGATTATCTGCTATCTTATACTTTTACTCCTCCTGAGAAATATACGATTGGGTAGGTACTCCAACTGCAAATGCGAACCAGTGTGATCACACTCAACCTTTTTGTTATTCCATGAAGTATGTCACAGGACACTTCCGAAAGGTGGATAGTATTGGAACAGTTTGACGGCTTGGTCGAAAGCTGTATTTCATTTGTCACCCTTTCCGGGAAGTTGAATGATAGGATGAATTGGTTAACGTTGATCAATCCTCCCTGGTGCACCAAAAATTCGTCTTCAATTGAGAATTGCAGTGGATTTGTGAAACTTTTGATCGCCTAAAAAATACAAGCGAAAGCCATTCAAGGTCCATGTGCAATTTCATGTCAAAGCTCGTCGTGGGTGGACTCCTTCTAAACGGTGCAAGAAACAACCTTGGAGAACCCTTTCGTGTTGTCGATATCGGAAACAGTTTTCAAGGTTTTGACAATCAATATGCCTGAAATTTCGAGAAAAAGTACTAGCAGTGCTTTGGGCGATGTCTGCTAAGTTCAATAACAGAATTGTATCCCATCAAATTGTCCTCAAATCACTATGTAGCTCTTACGATGATTGAAGGAAGCGATTACGATAAAGAGGGAGCGCATCGGGGAAGCATGTGCACCACACGAATCAGTTACTTGGCTGCCAGGAAGCGAGATGTGGCGCTTTCACAACGAAAGGTGCGCTGGTTGCTGAGCAGGACTTCGAAAGCGCTCCGCCCCCAAAAGCGATCCGCCCACTAGTTTACTTGTTGATTTGGACGAGCTGCGTGGCCAGCAGCGGCGCAAATGGAGCATCTCGATTGAAGCGTGTTTGGCATGGTGCCATCAAACGCGTTGCGGTGAACTCGTTCATACGTCCACTTTCTGAGCTGTTACCTGTTCATGAGTGAAAACCAACGGCCAAAAAAGGGGTCCCGTTTTGCGTTTCTTGACGGATTTTCTGCTTTTTTCGCTACTGGCGTACCATTGAGCACCACCACGTCACACTAAACCCTTCTTGAATTTATCGTAATCGCTGCCTTTAACCTTGCTTATCATGTTGGGTGTATACGCAGCCTTGCTGTACATTTTACGGATGAGCGTTGAAAATCCAATAAATGAATGCGCTTTTAGAAGCGTGTTGTTACCTCATCTGATACCCTTTTTAGGTGCCAACAGATTGAAGAGCATCTATCGGTCGCTAATTGTAATAAGCCTTGCAGTTATAATCGGATTCTTCGGAGCCGCTATTATTGTAGTCATTAGTGACGCATTGAGTCTGAATATTGAACGGTTCCATCTGAACCTTCTTGCTGGTGTATTCAACAGTTTTGCAATTTCAGTTACATTCTTCGTCTACTACGCTATAAGGTGGGCTATTTAGAAAATTTAGGAAGTATTTTCATGGCGATCGTTTTGCGATGAATTGAGATTCATTCACATCACTTGCATTGTTCATATTTATAAGTCTAAAATAAGAAAAAGCTAAAATGAAAGGACTGCCAGCAGCATCTTCTCTGTGCGCTTCTTTTTTCATTGAAAGGACAGACGTATGCTCAAAGCCACGAGTCAGGATTAGGCGGTCATAGAAGGCCTTTCCATCACTACTATTTCCAGGAATGCGCTCAGAGGGGTGATGCCACACTCCTGACTCGAGATTGCGCGCCGTCAAGGCCTCTGGCCTACTACTTACAGCGATGGCTTCGTTGCAGCTAGGCCCGCCCACCGCGGGATGTGGTGCGTGGCTGGCATAACGTGTGAGATCAGCTAGGTTGATTGCCGTATCAACCGATGGAACGGCTGGCATATCCGGAAAACTCGTTTGGACTCTCCCAAGCAAGCCTCCTTCACTGCTAGTGGGAAGGGGTTTCGTTTTCGGCCTTGTCGACGGTTTCTTTTCGTTTTTCTCCACTGTCGTTCCACTTCGCATCTCTATACTCAGTTTCAATCGCCATAATACCCCCTTTGAGCCCGACTTTTGCCTTTAATGTGTTGACAGGGACTTGCAATCCGAAACTAGCAAGTACAGTTGGATTTCTTCCTACTTATGGGTGATCAGTAGAGCCATTCTTGTTCTACTTCTGGTTTCTACTTCTAGAAATTTGCTGATTCGTGAGCAGGAGCCTATGTACAGAGCGAAGAGCATTATGCTATTCACATGCTTAGAGGCATTTACAATTTTTTGCAGTTACGACCTTCCATGCGCTCGCTCATTTATCAATTTATTCAGTTATTTATTATTTGTTCAGCACGATGTACGGCAGCGTTGGAAAATAAACCCAAGATAACGTTATCCATTACAAAAACAGGCAATTGAAAAGTAATTGCATGGTACCGACTACGATTTGGAGCGACAACCTCAGTCGGATCCATACTTTTGCTACTAGTGGAGTGGAAAGATGTGAGCCAAAGTTGAGAACATAAGGAGTGTCGCTCGAATAAAAACTGACCTAAAAAAGCCGCCAAGAGTTAGGTGGGTGTCAATTCTTGCCCGTCTGCCTTTAGTCGACATGCCGGCGCTAGCGCAAGATACGGGGCATTTCGTTGTTGTCTGTCGTGTTGTTGTAAACGTGTTCAAACGTGTAAACATGTCAGGTAGTAGCTTGGAGCGCATGCTCCAACACGTTGACGATAGCGCTGGCTTTGGCTTTTTTGCCTGCGGGCATGGGTGACTGGGCAGGCACAATTTGCCTAACGCGCAAGCGCATCAGCTTGTGTTTTCGAGAAAACTCGTAAACATCTCCCCTACATAAATATGTTAATTGAGTCTGGCTCAGTTTATGTGTTCTTGAATAAACCTTCTTTGTCTACGACTACCGACGTCAGTCGTGATCAGAGCTATGGCGACGGATCAGCAGTTTCAGCTCCTGATGGCGTTCACGGACGCCCTAAAATGATTCGCTCAACAACAGTGCCGCGATCTACTTTACAAGCTATGGAACCAGCCAGACCTTTCAGTGTATTAGAAGGACGCATCGCGGAGTTCACCTACGATCCCGACGCCGACCTGGTGTCGAAGCTTGGAATCAACGATATCAGAACATTTCAAAAGTGGAGGCCCAGATGCTCGACGAGCAAACTTTGAGTTCGACTCCTTCACAATCTGGATGCTACAGCGTATGGCAGATTCTCCAACTACATTCGGATCACAGCAATCGTAATCCAGCCGCCGCTACGCCTGCATGAAGCTCAACAAGAACGATGACTATACCACCTACGCAGGACAAGTCAACCGTGAGTGTGAAAAGTTTAAGTTATCTCAGTGCGATGAGAACCAGTTCAAGTGCCTTATTTTCGTGAGTGGTTTACAATCTAGTGAAGATGCTTTTATACGCCTCAAACTGCTTGACAAGATCGAATCCGACCCAAATTGCACGGTCCAGTCGTTAACAGAAGAATGTAAACGAATCCTCAATCTGAAACAAGACACTCACATGCTAAATTAGATCACCTAAATTTCATGCAGTACACTCTTGGCGCAGTTGGCGCAGTACGCCCACGGACTACGGCGAACCATAAGTGTTGATGTTATGGCATTTTCGAACAAGCTTCCATATTTTCGAAGGCTTATTTTGTGTTCCATTTCTGTGAAACGACCAGGTTCAAGCGCTAAATGCTCCAGTACTCCTACACGTATCAACATGACATTTCAGTAGTGTTGTACATTGTTTGAAGAGCTAAACCATGAGTTCAAAGATGAAGTATTTCAGTACTGAATATCGAAATGCATTCGACGTATATCTTGGAATTGGATGGCTCAAAAAATCTGTGTGTGGCAAATACACTGATATCATTTCTCCAGTTGTAGTTATCTCATCTACCACATCTCCGAGAAGATCTGATGCCATATGCTGACTGCTCACAATAATTTTCAAAAATTGTAACTGTATCTCATGATGTTGTTATTCTTCTGCCAACGAGGTTGTTAGGTAGAAAATTTTTATTAGTGGCCTGACGTTTCGACGAGATCGTCTTCCTCAAAGGCCTAAACGTGGCTTAAGGTTTGAGATTTGTCCTTTAAACCGCCAAACGCCGCTTTTCCCTCCACAAATACTTTTCTGCCGTTTTCACCACATTGTGAGCTACTGACGTAAACACTGAGACGTGCAGGTCTGAACTATAGCCTTTATACAAAGACTGCACAGTAAGCCTCAGTTACTAACCATAACTAACCCGGAGTGGCGTTGTTCTGCTCTTGCGGTGGTGGACTGGGTGAGTCTATTTTCCTCGTTCGGGGATTTTCGCTTGTTCTCCTTAACGTTCCGTCAGAAACGCTAGGGAGAAGCGGCGTTTGGCGGTTTAAAGGACAAATCTCAAACCTTAGCCACGTTTAGGCCTTTGAGGAAGACGATCTCGTCGAAACGTCAGGCCACTAATAAAATTCTCCACCTAACAACCTCGTTGGCAGAAGAATAACAACATCATAATAACAACAATGCCGAGGTTCTACGAAGAGAGAAGTTGGAGTTTGTAACTGCATCTTTTTGTGGCTTGCTCGGAGTGGTCCAAAATCTCAGAATGTCTGTGACGAAGCGACGAATAAATTGTTGTTGAAATTTTATATACGTAGGTGACCTATTTCTAAAAACAGCTCGAAATGAATAATGAAAATAAGTGAAAAAGTTTTGGTAAAAATTTTCATGTCGGAGGGAAACTACTCGTGATTTTATGAAAATGGTTCTTCGAAAGATCAATGAATCATGACGGTAGTTGGTGTTTATTAATCATGAGTTTTTCTTCTCAGTATTTCTCCATGTGGTAACTAAATGCATACGTGAGTGCGAAATTAGATCCGCCAAGAAAATATGCTCACAAGGGAAGTCCTTTAGGGAATGGAGCATTCTCAAAACAGTCTTCTGTATGCTGTAGGGGCTCGCACATGGACTACAAAACTGAGCTTCATCTTCGCAGAAGGGGCTCTGAAGGCGAAAAATGATTGAAAACATTTGCTCGGCGGGGATTATTCACAGTGCGTGCCAACCGGCGCGTTTGCAGAATGCAGGAGTGTATGGAAGTTTTTGCGAAGAACCTGGTCCTCGTTATGAATATGACGCTTACCATTTGTACTGAAGCTGAAGGGTATTTGGAAAATACAACCAAAAATGCACAAATTTTGTCATCACGGAGAATTGAACCCCGGACCATTTCCTCACCACTTTTTGGCCTTCAAAGGGGCCGCTCAGCGAAAATAGACCTCGGTTTCGTAGTCTACGCATGAGTCCCTATAACATGCAGAAAACAATTTTAAAAAGGCGCTCCACAATCTGAAAAACCCCTCGTCAGTGCCAACCGTCGCGTTTGCAGAATTTTAACAACTCCCTTCTCCACCTTCGTAACAGGGAATTCTCGATACTCTCTCAGAACTCTCGATACACTCTAGTAATATTGATGAGTTTTCAATGCACTAAAGCACGTAACTCTTACGCGAAGGCGTAGAAGCGTGTTTGCAGCTCGAGCACGGTTAACACATTCACGCCGATGGCCGCCCATGTAGGCCGCCACCAACATGTGCTTCTGGGATTATGGCTGATAATCGCTTGCCAGGCGCTAGGAATGGACAGATAGGTGGGCAAATCTCGTAATCGAGTGTAAAATGCTTTTAAATTCCTTCACGGGGAAAGTGAATAAATGCTCTCTTTTCGTAACCACTATTTGTCGTTCTGATCGAAATCCTACTGTTATATGTTTAGATAATCTTTACGCATTGGACATTGCAGAAATTATTTTGTGACATTCATGTTTTTGTTCATTTACAAAACAAAATCTGCGGTTATGTGGTGAGGCGGCGGCGCCCACAAAATCGCGTCCGTCCCACGCGACCGAAAAGTGGAAAAGGGGCGTCGTCGTGAATGTGTTAAGAAGGGAGCTAATTGAGTCCGGTGAAACGAGCACTACTTCCTTGATATACATCTTTTTGAGTGCTCGAGCGCTCTAAATCTGAACCCGAACCCAAAATAAACGGTTTTTTTCTAAACTGAATAGGTCTCAGCAGCTATCAAAATTATCCCGAATGCTCGAAACTTCTTCTGTTAGTGCTCGAATTCAGAAATTCGTATCATTTTCTCTCTCAAAATTGTTTGTGCTCTGTTGAAAATCCATTATATCGAAAAACCACGTTTGTTTTTCCTTGCAACCACGAACTCAACCTTCGAATGACCATGACTTCACTTTTTTCTTTCGAGATGCTGATGTCAGCATGATAAACTACAGGATACAGGTTTTCCAAAGAGTGCTGAAGCTCTTTCAAATCACCGACTCGAAAAAATAGTTTTCTCGGAACTTCATTGAAGGATTACCAGAGTTGGCGAAACAAGAGTTTTTGATCTTGCAACGACCGCAAGTTTCTTCAAACTGCTAGTTCGGAAGCTTGAAGAGAGCTCAGTAATCCGTCAGGACTGGGCTTCCTAAAAACAACAAAATGTTCGCGGTATCATCCAAAAGAAATATTAGCCTAGCGTTGTGTTCCGTTCTTTTTTCAGGACGCTTTCCGAGCCGTTCTTTTTGGAAAGGCGGGTTTTTGAAGTTTCAGTGATTTACTTGAAAATGTGAGTGAGTCAGAAAACGAAAGGAATCGACTTCATTTAAAGGCAAGATTCAGGATTAAATTGATGGGCTCCACTCAAATGTGAAAGTAGGGATGAGGAGGTGGACCGCCAGTGGAGAAAAAAGGAAAGAAAATCCTGAAATACACAGGAAATACGAGCATTTTGCTCCATGCTGTGGAGAAGTTCAAAAGACAGGCAGGGAGATGAGAGATAATGTGAGCGCGGAGAGTGGTAGAGAAGTCCGAGAAGAGAGAGCATAGCAGATCAACGTGGCGACGCAGACAAGATATCGGTGGGCGGACCATGTTAAGTTTGGTGGAGTCTGTTAGAAGTCCATGGCGCCTAGGGTCCTAGTGACGCGTTTCGATGTAGAAAGGTGGCGCTACCTTTGCACTTGCGTACCCAGCACTTCTAGCCATGGTAAGGGCTTCTTAGGTGGGTCTGAGCCCGAACTTTGCCTTTAAGGTAATTAGGCTGCCTTGGAATACCTCTCCTGCAAAAATAATGCTTTCATAAAAGAAATGCTTTTCTCCTTCGTGATGTCGATTCTTTGATATGATTGCATTTTTTCTGCATTTCGGTCCAAAAATATTGAAACACTTTCGAAACGAGGGCCTTTGAGCATTTTAGAGTCTCTTTATGGCTCGCTCCATCATCATTTTGTAGAATATCGTCAGTGTTCCATCACATCCGCTTCATGACCCCTTCCCTGTCCGTGTTACGAAAACGACCCTCTCCTTGAAACTTATATAAACGGCCACTTGATCTACATACACTGCTAGTTCCTCGTAATGCTGAATTCGCATTACTCACGTATTAGTAGTGGAATACTCCAGGAAGGCATGGGTCAAGAAGTGAATAAAAATACAGATCAGTGGCACGAAATCCACAGTGGATGGAACATGCATTAAAATGAGCAGTGAAACCTTCAGGCTACATAACAAGAAAGCCAAAAGACCGGGAAAAATGGGCAAAGAGAATTAAAAGACACCGTAACAAATCACTCCACAAAGAGCCTGGCTGCCCTGTTTCTAGTGTAATAGCCTGTCCTGCAATGTATTGATGAGAACTCAATAAGAAAACGAGCAACCTTCAACTCACTGATCAGCTCCGAGGGATGACGGAAACAAAGTGATTCGTCTGAGTTGGAGGAAAACAAACATCTTGAATTCCTTACATATAAAGGGGAGCCAATAAAAAGACATTTTGTCTCCAGACTCAAATGGATTTAATCACACTTTGCTCAGCTCAAAGCGTGTGCTCCCAACTTAGAATTGAAGAGCGCATTTCATTTCATAAGAAAATCTTCATAGTGGCCATCTACGTGGACGGCATCAGAAAAATTTGCCCCGGAAACATGGTGCTCTGGTCGAGCTCAATGGGGTTCTCGACTGATCGTGTACCATAACGACCTTTACTGAAAAGCGGTTCCGAGGGGGTTTGCATAGTTAGAGCTAATGTCTCTAGGAAACTATCCAACATTGAATCGATCCAAGAAATTATGTAAGAGCTTCAGGCTGAAGCAGTTACGGTAGGCCTCCTTGAGCTTGACGACGGTGACAGATGACGTCATATTCTGAAGACGGTGAGGGCAGTGAAGGAGGGCCTGCGTGTACTTATAGAGGGACATTTAGGGAATATTTTGCTGAGGAACTTCCGTCAACGACGGCAATCTCTGCGAAGAAAAAAGGCCGAAGTGCGACATGGGCAAAATGTCTTTTTTTGCCCCCCCCCCCTCCTGTATGTTTATAGGACTCGTTCTTTTTCGTTGTTGTACGTGTTATTATAGGCATACGTTCTTGAAATAAAAAATTCCTTAATCGGGCTTCTTCACCGTTTCCAAATCAGGAGAACGTGAAAGAGATGTGTATCTCCTTTTCTTGTGTATAAACTCAACTCACCCTGACCTTATTAGCAACTTTGAATGCTCTGAAAAGAAAGAAGAAAGAAATCAAGAGTAGTAGACTAAAAGATTTATTTCAGCACATTTGAGATTATAGTCGTATCTGAAAACATGACCAAGAACAGGGACTGGTGGACTGTGGTCCGTTATACATTAAAACCAATGGATTTAAGAATCTATGTATACATAGATTGGCAACTAAATCTTGCACCTTTTCACTTGCAATTTTCTATCTCTTTTCCACTATATTATCAACAGTATTGGTACTTGGAAGCCCAATCCACAATCATTTGTAATTACCCTGCTCGGAAATCAAAGCGGAGAGGTGAAGGGGATAGCTAAGAAAAAAAAACATTAGATATTATCAAAAACGTTGAGATTGAGAACTCCCCTTTGTAAGATCGACCATGGCACAATGGAGGTACACAGCACGCCGTGCTGGGGGCGCGCACATCAGTGCTTTGCATTGAAGCAATAAAAAGCGGCGGTCAACTCGGTGGTCCGGACAACTGGAGAGGCAGTGCCCCTATCGCGCACTTTTGATGCTTCAAATTTCTTAATAAAAGAACACCTTTGGGTAGGTGATAGGGTCATATACTACTCCCTAGTAGGAAGGAGCCTTACATAGTAGCAGGAACAAATGGGTTCCTGCTACTCCGGTGGGTTAGAGTGTCCAATGACCTTTTCTGATAGAGAATGGTTTTCCTTTACCTCGGAGCGCGTCGATGGTTGGCATTTTTGGAGGGAGTATGAGCCCTAGGGTAAGTGAAGCGATTCCTTCTCCCTCAGGAGAAAACTTAGAGACAAACTTAGGCAGCTATTGTCATAGACAACCAAGGAAATTGAAGAAAAACCAGCGTGGAAAGGAAATCTCGGGTTGACACAGGGCCTTACCTTTGTGGTCACTGGCATACTCGCTTCAATTTACTCCTGTTATTTCAAAAGAAATCTAACACATATTACAGTTTTTGACGTGCCGTGTTTGCTGCTAGTCGCGTGAATGCATTGACAGACATAGACTACTTGGCATGTTTACTTTTATTAGCAGCAAATCTCCCCGTGTCTTGCGACAGCGCTAAAATACTATACATAAAAAATGATTCCGACCGCATCCTTCGGTATTGCTTACGGCATTAACATGTCTGCAAAGAAAGAAAAATTAGGAATGGGTCCAAAATTTAGTTGCCAATTCGAGACATTGATAAAAAGACTGAGAGATGAGAGGTAAAAGCAAAGATGAGAGAACGAGCAAGTATGTATGTGTTAAGTAGAAGTGAACGAATGCTCTGCTTCCGAAAACCAGAAGCGCGTCGAGTGCAGACCACACACCACAAGTGACGACGGCCTCCACAAAATGTAAATGTTTTCTGCCAATGAAATGATTAGCCTGTTGCAGTTGTATTCTATCAGTTGTCACTAATTACAACTATCATTTACCAACTATCAGCTATCACTATGAACCACTACTAACCAGATTTACTTGGAGGCCGTCGTCACTTGTGGTGTGTGGTCTGCACTCGACGCATGTCTGGTTGTCTGGAGCAGAATGTGCGTCTACTTTGACTACCTTTTGATCAGATGATGGAGGAATGTTTTCGTATCTTTACATTTGTACTTTTCTTGAGGCATCTCAATCACAAAATATGAGGAGAATCGGCAGCACTTGCATCAGTTGTGACGATGTAGGTTCTGTGAAGTATCTGACTGCCTGCCAATCCGCCGTCTCGCAAAATCCCGCAATGGTCGAAATAGCCCTGACGAATCCTGTTTAGCCTTGTGGTAAGCTAAATATGACCATGTTCTTGTCTGATCTCTGTTCCGACCCCTTTCTTTGGAATGCTCGTTTTTCAAAGACATCGGTCGCAACTGGGTATTTACAAGGGAAAGTCAGATGCCTAGTCCAGCCATCAGAAATGAGATGTATACGTACATAGGCGCTCGTCACGCCGAGTTCAAATCTGCTTTTGTTATGTGCGGATCGAATTTCTAAGAAGGTATGAAGTGTGGAAGCGCAGCGATAGTGACCCTGACTCAAAGGCAAGAGGTCGAGGATCGACTGCAATGCACGTCTGTGTCTTTTCTTCTCACAAAGATCAAGCTAGAAGCTTTTGATGTATTATTGATGAGAACAAAAAGGCGAACTCACATTGCAGTCAATCGACTCTGTCAGCCTGTTCAGTACTGCGCCTTGCTGCTTCACAACATTTTTCTTCTGGAAAGCCTTTTCCACATAACGAAAGCAGATATGAGCCAGCGGGTCGAGACGTGCATATAGGTACACATATCATTTCAAATGGCCGGACTGACCAACTGACCATGCCATGTTGAAGAATCCTCTCCTTGGGCGAGGTATCAGGACCCCTGGTTGCAAGAGTGGTAGTACTGTCGCGACTTGGAAGTGCGCAAGGGAGTTAATGCCTCCGCTTGACCGCTGCGACCACTGCCATTCTCATCAATCGCGACACACACTTGCTCTCGCGTGCGACCACCTGTCTCGGGTTTTCGGCTCCCCCACTTTCTTCACGATTTGGGGCGCGGCCGCGGCGAGCGCGG